CAATCACAGCACACCTCGCTTTTTTAGACCGATGAGCTTTGTAAAAATCGACGCGTTTCAGAAAGGCGGGGCATAGAGGAGAAACAATAATGTACAGTATGTGGAAAATAATGTGTTTTTTTAACCTTAAACCGCATAAACACGTTTCATTACACCAAATACACAAAATAATGTTCTTTTTAGCAGCATCATATGACCCCTTTAAGCATTTAAGATAAAAATCACTTGCTTTTTATCTATATAGAATTTGCAGTCAATTTTGTCTGCTTATGGATGTCTTTTATCTTACAGTAGGTATAGAAAGAATCACCTCCTTTAAAATAATCACATTTTGTTGCTTTGCAGCCTGAAATGAAGACGGACACAGTTTTTGTTTTATGCAGCTGTACATTCTTTTCTATAAACACTGTATTTATCCGGTTTTATATGTAGGATAAAGATCAGCGCAGTCTTGATATGGACACTGCAAAATCCATGTTGGCACTTCTTCTTGGAAGGACGTGGCCTCTGTTCCCAGTGTTTAATCAATTTCTGGAGGTTTGTCATCTATTTCTTCAAATCAGATTGTCTGTCAAGCTCCAAAACAGACAAAAAAGGAAAGAAAAGCACCGTAAAACCAGCTTACTTTTTTCCCCCAAGGAGCGCATGTGCTCCTAATTTGAAAAATGTAAGAGCACATAAAGACCTTTAGGGATGCAATAAAAATGTATCAAATAATTTGTATTTCCTTGATAAAGGGATACAAAGAGACATTTACATGTACTTTTTGTGTTTATTTGAATACAAAAAGTACACTAGGTTTTTAAATATTTCTGCTTTATGTATTTATTTAATAATTATGCAATTATTTATATTTTGAATGTTGAATTAAATGCCAGATACGTTTGCATAACTAAAACACCAATAATAATCAGTAAAAAATGTTCCACATAATATGGGACTTTTAATTATAACCAAGCCTGAAATACACTGAGACTCTTATTTTGATTTTTTTTTTTTACTACTGCATTCAAACTGCACAAAACATATTACGGTATAAACACAGTATAATAGTGCAGTATTCATTTAATGTAACCGCTTTGAAACTGCAAGCCTGCAGAATGTGCAACATTGCTGCTTTTTTGCTCATATTTATTGAATTATACCATCGCCTTTAATAATAATACATTCAATAATCGCATTAAGCTTTATTGTGATTCCTGTTTTATGGCCACAAATTTAAGACCTCTTAAAATCATAATGAATATGTTTGTTATATCATTCAAGATGTTTTACGGCCTTAAATAAAAATTAAAAAAAAGACTTTTTAACCCTATTTTTTATTTGTACATTTACTTGTAAATACATTGTACACTTTGCACGCATCTATTTTTAGTCGTAAATGTAATGAAACGTTCACACTGTCAAGCACTTATAAAAGTAGTCCATTTAAAGCCAAACTGAACCATATGAAACTCTGAATTTGGTAGTAGTAGTTTGTTCTTTAATAATGTTCTGTAAAGGAGTGTTATAGCTAACAGAATCGTCTCTCCTCTAGCAATCAAAGTATAAAGTCATGAATAAGGACCAGTGGTACAACGTCCTCGAGTTCAGCCGCACAGTTAACACAGACCTGAGCAACTATGATGAAGACGGAGCCTGTAAGTGTGATGGGTTTTCTTCTCATGTTCTCTTATGAGATGCTTCTCAGTTGAACCGCTGCTGATCTCTGTCTGTGATTTCAGGGCCAGTGATGCTGGATGAGTTTGTGGAGTGGCATAAAGCCAGAATTGCATTATAGCACAAGCAGACGCTGAGTTCAGAGTTTTTGTTGGTTTTCGGTGTGCCCCAGACGATGGCATACCTCTCGAGGACTGCTTCAACATGTCTTACATCACTACCCAGAGACTCTTACAGTGTTACTTTAAAAAGAAATGGCACAGAGGAATCACAAGACAAAAGGGGAAATATTTTTCATATGTACTGAATTTGTTGCTACAGTTATATTGCCAGTGTTATATGAATTTTCTGAAAAGGGGGAACGGTCTGTTTGTAATTTCCTTTCATTTTTTTTCCTCTCCAAGTTTTACTTTGTTTATAGTGTTTTGAAAAGGAAATAAATAAAGCAGTTGTAAATTAATTAATCTTCTAGACTTTACTGGCTTGGCATTCAGCACTGTTGGAGCAATAAAGTGTTTTTCATCTAAATCTAAATGTAGCGTAAATAAAAAGATTTACTTTGCATACACAAACACACAAAAGTTTGGAGTCAGTAAGATTATTAATGTTTTTGAAAGAAGTCTGTTACGCTCACCAAGGCTGGATTTAAATATTTGATCAAGAATACAATAAAATTGTGAAATATTATTACAAATTAAAATATTTGTTTTCTATCGGAATATATTTTAAATTTGAATGTATTGCTGTGATCAAAGCTGAATTTTCAGCAGTCACGTGATCCTTCAGAAATCATTCTAATATGCTGATTTACTGCTCATGTCTGATTATTATCAATGTTGAAAACAGTTCTGCTCCATATTTTTGTGGAAACTGTTTTGCATCTTTATAGAAAATTAAAAAGAACAGCCTTTATTAGAAATAGACATTTTTTTGTAACATTATAAATATCTTCACTGTCACTTTTGATCAATTTAATGCATCCTTGCTGAATAAAACAATCTTACTGACCCCTTATATATTCTGATATTTGCATCAAAATTACTACTTTTGAACAGGTGATTATATTGCCTATATACTAAATGAGATGTAGACAAAAATAGCTGAATTTAAATCTACACTTGATAAGGCTGTTGGGAGATTTTGACCAAAAAAAAAAGCCAGAATGACGCATAAGTTAACTGTCCAGTCAGATCCAGTTATCAGACAATAGCGATAATCTCAGAATGGCACTGGTCTAACTAATCAGCCTGGTCTTACAAACTAAATTACACTCACAGACTGTTCAAAGGTCTTTCCAGTGATCTCTTCGTCTCATAAACATGTCTCTCGGCCTGTTTGTGAGTCTCTAGTGTCTCCTTCTGTAGCTGTAGCGTCTGGTGGAATGGTCTGGCCCTCGGTCGACTCTACGGCTGGGTTGAAGTCTAGAGCTTCTGCCTGTTTCATGATGGCACTGAGTCGCGTCAGTGACCTGGTCCTCAGTTTGGGCCTGACCTGGTCTTCAGCCTCCATCCCAGAGTCTTTGATGTGGCTGTATGGATTCCCTTCTTCATCATAGTTGTAGATTTTAATGACGCGGATCTTCTTTGGATGTGGACTAACCGCTGATCTCGACTCTTGGGTTTGTTCTTCTGCTTCACATCTCTGAGGCTCATTTCCTGCATTATCAACATCCATGCGTTCCTGATCAACCAAACCAATGTCCACAGTGTCTTCACCATTGTTTTGGTTTTTATGGAAGAACACTGTCTCATTTAGTGCACTGGAGGTTTGTAAGTTCTTCTGTCCATTGATGTGATTGTCTTTTCTATAAGGCACGCGGGCCCTTATCGTTCGTAGACACTTTATCACATAGGACCTACTGAACGCACCGAGTGTGAAGGCCACTAAAAAGCTCATGATTACTGAAGATGTCACAGCCGCCACGAAATGGCTTTCTGACACTGTGTCGGCGTGAACCTCTGCCTCCCTGGTCTTCCTCTGCCCTTTCTTGATGGCTGCTATGTTAATTCTATAAGGCACAATTGTTCTGCTCATCTCGTCCAGACGGACACAGAAATAGAGTCCATCATGGCTGGATGTGGCTCTTGAAATCCTCAAAGTGCCATTGCATGTTTCCACTGGGTCTGTTTTGCTGTTTTGGTGGTTACAGCCGTCAAACAGGCCGAAAGGCGTCTGCCACCACTGCGCCAGCACTGCGGAGAGAAGAATTCAACAATCATGACTAAACAGACACTTTTCACAGCTTGAAACAATGGTCACTTAAAAGCACTTCAAATTCATAAAACATTCATCCACAACTAAAGCTAAAATCATTAAAAAAATAAACGAATAAATAAAAAGTTAACCGAAATCTAATAAAATTAGGCAACATTTCTCATTTTCATTTACTTCAGAACTTAAATAAAATAAAATTAAACTATATAGACAAAAAAATTAATAAATAAGAATGACAAAAACAAAAATTACTAAAACGTTAACTAAAATGGAAATGAAAAAAATATAAACATAACAACTAAATTAAAATATTAATAAAAATTATAATGGTGTCTCAATAGTAGTAAAATAACACTGACTGAAACTAAAGGTATAAGGCAAGGCAAGTTTATTTATATGGCACATTTCATACACAATGGTAATTCAAAGTGCTTTACATAAAAG